AGACAAGAGTCAGTTTCCAACATTTTTCCTTTCTGAAAGCTCCCAGTGGCTTCTGGTGGACACGTCACCTTGGTTTTTAAAAATTTTCAGTGTGAGTTTATATATATATATAATATAATATAATATATATTTATATAATATATCAAAGCTTATGAGCATAGATTAAAAAAATATTCAACAGCTTAGTGAACTCTGCAGTGCCAGCTTCCTAAATGTCGGGGTAAAACTCCGTCCCGTGGTCCACGGTCTGTAGCGCTGGCTTCTGCTCCAGCGCAGACATCCTACTGAGGACTTCTGCGGACAGCGCATAACTATTCCCAGACTTCTCCTCAAACCAGCTGTCCAGGGCTCGCTTGGCATCAAAGTTGGCGATTGGCGGTCCGTTTACAGCGATTGTCAACAGGTCGCTAAGCTGCTCCAGGGTCAGGCGGGAGCGGTGGTTTTTGCGAACTCGCTGGAGGGCATTGCGGCCTTTCTCGCAGCAAGCGGTGGAAGTGGGGAGGACTTTAAGAACCTGGATGATCTTGTTCAAGAGTGGAAACCTCTGTTTGTACTTGCAAATGTGGCTGATCAGGTCTTTGAAGCCATTTTTGGTGTAGTAATCTGCCTTGAGTTCTCGCCACTCCATCAACAGACTACCCCGGGGGTCCAGCCCTTCCCTACAGACATCCCGGGAAAAGGTCGGGATGGCCTCGAGGTGATCAAATATTTGCACCATATCCTCCTTGCCAAAGCTCATCAGCTCCTCACTGCTCCTGGGCCAGGCAGCCAGGTCGAACACCTGGCAGGCCTTCACAAAGATCCGGCTGCGGGAGTCGAACCTCTGAGCCAGGATGACCTGGGTCTTCTGGCAGATCTTCTCCCTGATGGACTGGAACTTGGCTTCAGCCACCCTGAGATTCTTCATGGCGATCCCATTGAAGCTCTCTCGGAAGTTCTCCTCGAACTCCTGCAGGTATTCTCCAGGGGAGTCAGCCAGCCGGCTGATCTCCTGGATGGCCTCCTCGATCTTGTCATCCACCTGGGACACCAGCAGGTACTCGCCCTGGAAGATGTAGGCCAGGCGCGAGAGCACAGCGATCACGTCCAGCAGGAAGTAGATGAGCTTGATGGACTGGTAGTCCATGAGGAACTGCAGCAGGGCCAGTGCGATGGCCGAGGCATCCGCCCGCTGGGTCTGGCTGCTGACCTCCTTGAGATGGGCCACCACCTCCAGGTAGTCCTTGATGAGGGCGTTGAGGACGTTCTGCTCACCGATGATCCAGCGCACTGCGCGGATATCCCCTAGGAACTCCGTCTCCTCACAGAGTGTGGCCGCTGTGGACCGCAGCTCGCACATGAGGCGCGGCGAGTAGCGGTAGAAGCTCAGCAGCTGCTTCAGGTTGTTCTCTAGCTCCTCCAGGCATGGGAGCTCCTTCCCACTGATGGCATCCAGGATCTCCAGGTGGGGCCGGTGCACCATGAAGGGCAGGCACAGCAGCCAGGGCAGCGTCTTGCGGATGGTCATGAACATGCTGGCACGGAGGCTGGCTGTGATGTTGGCTCCATCTACACCCAAGCCAACGGTTGGCTTTTCATCCTGCAACCGGATGCCCAAGGCCGAGAAGGCCCGGTCAAGTGCCTGGAGATAGCTTTCTGTGCTAGTGAACCCCAGCTCCTGCAGGGACAGGAACTCTGTGGCCGGGGGCCCGTCGCTGCTGGTGTACTGAACATAGACAGCCACCGTGTCGGCCAGCAGATCATCGCTCTGCCCATCCAGGATGATGCTGAGGCAAGGTGACTGGCGGATGCGCTCCACCAGGTCTTCCCGCAGGGCCCGGGCGATGTGATGGATGAGGATCTGGCAGTCTCCCTCATTCATGTACTGGTCCACCACCTTGAGCTCACACTTCCTCAGCAGCTCTGCCAGGGGCCTGAAGTCCAGGTAGGGCCTGCCCTCCAGGGCCAGGTGGTAGGCGGTGTTGAAGAGCAGGGTCATGTTGCGACACATCTCCTCTGTCTTCTCCGGGTGCATGCGGAGCTTGTACAGCTGCAGGCACTTCTTGTGCAGGTTGCTCTGGCTGTGCAGTTTGATGGTGTGAATCTTAAACTGTTTGGAGCCGATGATGAAGGCTGAGGTGCGTGAGGACTGCACCGTGTACTGGCGGCAGACGTGACACCACATCTCATTGAGGGTTGGGGAGTACCGCAGGAACCAGAACTTCTTCAGCCATTCCTGCTTAAAGCGCCGGATTCGGCGCCCGGTGGCCGATGACATCTTGGAGGGCTCATCTGTCGCAGTCATCATATCGTTGGAGACAGATTCATCTGCTGAATCGACTTCCTGGTCATCGTCCTCCATGATGGCGGGGCCGGAGACCATGCTCTCTGAGGCTGAAAAACAAATGGGAAAGAAACATTGATACCTGGTGGAAACAACAGGCTTTTCCAAAATCCACAGGAAACATTCCTGGAAGGTAGGTGCCATACCGTGGAAACAGAAGTCCATGGAAGCCTATGACAGATTGAATCCCAGCCCAGAATTAGTTTATGAGCACTCCTGCTAGCCCATGTGACTTTTACTCTCTGTGGATTATCCACAGTTGCCTTCTGTCACACCCACCAGGCTCCAGGCTGCCTGCCTCACCCTCCATGTGTGGGTATTTGAGGGATTTAAATGCCCCCTATCAACTGGACAGTACAAGCTAGGAGAGTAGATCTGATGGAGGAGGAAAAGCACATCACACATTCCAAAGTTATACAAGAACTTGGGATTCATTTACCCTTCATTAATGTGAACAAAAGTAGCTTGGATATGGCCCCAAGTGATTTCAGGATCAAAATGCAGTTTAGTTCAGATGCATGCTTTAAATACAAGAAACACCTCATTCTGAGCTAAGGGATGTGGTTAAAAGAGTAAGTGCTATGTAAACAGTCTCCCTCAGCTGCAGATATGAACTGGAAAACCTCCCTAGTTGTCAACCAACTCTAGAGATCCAGGTAGCCAACAGAATAGGGAAAAGCCATGCAGGCGAATGGCCTGGATCCCCTCACTCTCCATCCTTCTAGAACTCCAGGCTGGGGAACATGTGTGGCAGGACAGAAATTCAGGAAGAGAATAACAAGGTTGTGTTCCTGGACTAAGTTAGGGAAGCCATGAGATCTCTCCAGTGGGACACCCTGCTTGGGACTGGGGAGAGAGAAAGACTGGGTTTAGAAATCGGGCTTTGGGGTAAGACACCAATAGGACCACCAGAGAAAGGCAACGGGTCAAGAACACAGCACACACCCCATCTGCAGCGGAACTTCCTTTATTGACGAGGAGGATACAAGGGCAACACACAGAGCACCTGGCAGAGCTGCCGACGGGCCTGCCAGAGACACTGAGGACCTGGGCTCCCACCCATGGAGGTAGCTGCCTCCATGTTACACTCCTCAGGTCTCCCAGAAGGTGGTTTCCACAGACAGCTTTAGGCTACCCTCCACACAGCCCACTGCGTGCTCTGCCCTCCGACAATAATCTCATCCAAACCAACTTACCTGCAGGGTCCGAGAACTCTGGGAGCTCCAGTACCTGTGGTGGCAATACGGGGGGCTCAGGAAGTTTCCCAGACTTAAGCATGTCTAATTCTGCCTGGAGCTCCCGAACCTTCTTCTTTAGGCGAATACAGTTAGGGCAAAAAGAGGTGGTGGGAAGTTCATGAGGGTCAGATGCAAGGGAGGCCTCGGCAGGACTGTCAGCCTTGAATGATGAAGGCTCCTCTTCTTCATCCTCCAATTGGCCTGGCTCCTTAGAGACCCCCTGGGGGACCTTCCGGTCCCCCTCCCCCTGGGTCCGGCCTATATTCTGCACACCATGGGTCATGGTTGTTGCACACCGACTGTAGGCGTCATCCTGGTACTTGGGGACTTTCCTGATGACCAGTGAGGTGCTCAGGGCCAACTGGTGGGCTTCCACCTTTGCAGATTCCAGTGAGGCCTCTAGAACATCCTTGAAAATCAGGTCAATTTTCTTCTTCTTGGCTTGGGGGTGTACGTCCCCCTCATCAAAGCCACGCTTGTAGGGACTTTTGCCCTGTCTCAGCACAGGGAGATGAATGGGACCCCTCAGGTCTTCTGGGTTATCCAGAGCCTGCTCAGACTTCTCCCTCTGCAACCTCTTCTCTCCTAGGAAGGAAAACCAGGGTGTAAGGAAGTGGGGAAAACCCCCAAATTGGAGAAACCAACAGAAAACAAAGCAGGCCTCCTGTTAGGTCACCTGACACATCCCTCTACATCTGGGCTTGTGGGGCAGGTGTTGCAAAGGGGAGATATGAATCACTCAGTGGACCATCAGAACTAGACTCATAGGACCTGAACGGTGGAAAGACCTTTTATAAAGAGACAGTTTCTGAGAAGCTTCACATCTACAAACTCTACGGTTATAAGTTAAGAGAGATCTACAGGGGAGAGTAATTGAACATTCTTTCCTGTGACCCTAGAAGGCAATATCCCACTTAATCACACTGGGTGGTGGGAACATACCTCAGAGCCAAGTGAGTATCAACTCCCCCAACCTTTGCAGCTTCCCCTCAGCCCTAGCAATGACAAGATGGCTGCTTCGACTTGGTAAAAGGTACACGTGAAACACCATAGGCCTCACTTCTTCCTCCTCCTTTGTTGCTATGGAGACAGCCCACTTAAGGCAAAGTCCATCCTTTGGCAACTGTCCTTTCTAATTCTCCCAGCAATCAGCAGACTAGGAACATGTGAGAAAGCATGATCTGAACTTCTGTAGTTCTCACTGATGACTAAGGGCAGAGGAAAGGGGAAGACAAGGAGACCTATGGCGCTGAGGGCTCCAACATGACAGCCTCTGACAAGATAAAGGACAAGGTATCCACAATGACCCAAAGCAGTCTGGAAATATAGCTGTGTCTCCTTACTTGGCAATTCAAAGGACGCTTCCTTGCCTATTTCTTTCTATCATGTGAATTACTTCAATTCACTTTGAATTACTTTCAATTGTTTCAAATACTTTGGTGAGCTCCTCAACCATAAATTATTTTAGACTGATTCCTTGTTTTTAATTTTATTTTTTGAGACAGAGACTCACTCTGTTGTCCAGGCTGAAGTGCAGTGGTGCTCACACAGCCTCCACCTTCCAGGTTCAAGTGATCCTCCCACCTCAGCCTCCCAAGTAGCTGGGACTACAGACGCACACCATCACACCCTAAGTTTTGTATTTTTTGTGGATATAGGGTTTCGCCATGTTGCCCAGGCTGGTCTCAAACTCCTAGGCTCAAGCGATCTGCCCACCTTGGCTTCCCAAAATGCTGGGATTACAGGCATGAGCCATGGCACCCAGCTAGCGTGATTCTTTAAAATTACCAACATAGTTTCATAAACTGCTACAGAAGTGCTGATGCTTTCTGGTGAGAGATGCTAAAAAGGCAGAGGAATCTCTTCAGCCCTTAGAGGGTCCTGAAAGTAGCCCATGGAACTCAGAAATCTCAAAGGTTTCCTAGACCAGATGCAGGGGCCCTGGGTGATGTGCCACTGAACAATGACTTGAACTAAGCTGTACTTAGGCTTTTGATGGCTCCATTTGCCAAAGGCTTTTGAGTGAAGGCCAAGGGTTTGCCATAAGCAGTCCAGATGTTCCATGCCTGGTTTCCCGTAGCTGGCATGGGTGCTGTGCCCTGCCACATGTTTGACTCCAGGTTTCCTTTAGGTTACAGCACAAAAGGAAGTTATCTATTCAGGATGCACCTTTTCTGTCCTCACATGAATACTTAAGGAACAACTTTATCTCCAAGGCTTCTGGAATTCAGCAGCTCCCCACAGCCTGCACTTCTATATCAGCTGAGCTGCAGAAAGGGGAGAGATGGAGATAACTTGAAAATGCAACCTGTATGTCTTACAGATCAGATGCAGCACTTGCCCACTGAAAATCTCTAAAAATCAAGACCCACGTTTGCCTTTTGTCATGGGACCATCAGGCAGCAAACAGCTGAGGACATCGAGAAGTCAAGCCTACAGATCGCCAGAGATTCCTCATCATTGTTTGAAAACAACGTTGTTCAAATTTCTTAGCATGAGCAGGAGATCTCTGTGGACTTATGGCTTCAAGAAACATCTATGGGCCAAAAGAAACCTTTAAGCATCATGAAATTGCTTCCAAAGCCTCCATACAATATGGAAAACAGAAACAAAGGAAACCTCAAAGTAAATTAGTAAGTCAAAGTAGGTCAAATCACATAAATTGTTAGAATGCGAGCTTTAGATGCAATCTATTCTTAAAAGGAATAACCACAAAGGAATAGTTTACACTGTCTTCAGGAAGACTTCTGGCAACAACCAATAATATCCCTACTTAATAAGAACGAATAATTCATGCTCTGGCCTCCATCAGGGTGCCAACCTCCAGTTACAAAGAAACCTCCTTCTATGTAAGACCATGAGTGATTGGGCATAGGGGATCTCCCTTTCAGAGCAGCACTGGCACACCAATCTGGGACACCACTAAAAGTACCCGGAGTCTGCTGAAGTTACAGGCTACAGAGGCACACATTTAAAAGCCACTGAGCTCCATGACCATTCCCAAGGGCTTTAGGATCACCCACAGCTGTGGAACTGCCCCACTGTAGCTTTCAATTTCCTTCCTATTTCCTACTGCTCAGCCTGACCAGGAACAGACCCTCTTTCCTCCTGTATCTTCATATGTCTCAGTGTGTCTCCTTTCAAGTCTGTCTGACACACCTCATTTGAACCACTCCAGAAAGCTCACACCCTTCTCTGAGCAGTCCCCTGTGGTCTTGGGGCTCATGAGGATGATGCAGCTTCAGGTGCTCTGGAGAAGACCACTGGGGGAAGAAAAGGACATCACAAATCCAGAAGAACGCAAGAAGGTTATGACTAAGGGACGAAATCTGTGTTCTCAGATATGATTTCTCTGGGTTTTCTTTTCTTCTAGTGGTATGATTCTTTGGGAAGCTTCTTGGCTGTCTTCATTCATTTCTTCTTTCATCCATTCAACAAAGACTTATTGAGTCCCTAATATGTATTAGGCACTTTTACATGAGGCATCTCCAGAGGTCACATGGAAACCACTGCAGCCTCATCATGGAAGCACGCCTTGCCAAGTGAAACCAACATGTGCCCAACCCTGAGATCCAAAGAAGACAAGAAATGAGTATGTTTATGGGGTCTCCTTTTACTGCCCATCATCTCCAGATACCTTTTACCAAGTCAGGCAGCAGCTGTGCACTCAATGTCCACAGTTTGCTTTGTTCTGTTTTGCTTTTAAAGATAGCTTAGTTTGAATAGGTCACTCCCACCCCTTTTTCGTCTTCTCCCCTCATATTCCAAGTGAAGATTTATTTCCAATTAGTAAGTTGGTCAGGAACACGATACAGTGAGGCTTGGGAACAGCCTTGGTTCCTGGCACCAGATAGACTCTAGGTATTTGGATGTGTGGTTTTAGTGTAAAAAAAAAAACCCTTGAAAGAAGGGCCTGGACTCACCAGTCTACCCTGGGCAGGATGAGGATGGAATAAAAGGGTAAAGGACTAGAGGCTGAGAGTAGTTAAACTCTCTTCTTACGCTGAGAAGCAGTAAAACTGCTTCTGAATGGACACCCAACCCACCCAGCTTCCCACACCTAAGTCACCCTCCCACCTCCTGCCAACCTTCTTCTTTTGATAGATATTGTTCTTTCACCTCATCTCATTAGGACTGCAGTAGAGACACCAGGAGGAACCAAGGAGGGGACAGGTTTTTTCTGGGACACCAGGTAACATTGGAGGTCAGAACTTAGACCTTGAAGTCAGACTGATATGGATTAGAAACCTAGTTCTGTCCTTCCTAGCCAGGTGACCCTGGATGAATCACTGTATTCATCTGATATTCGGTTTGCACATCTGTAAGATGGGTAAAAGAATCCACGTGGGATCATGAGTATTAAAAGTTTATAGCTGAGGACTTCTGATGATGGAGGCGGGCATCATCCTAAAGGCCACATGTCCACGACTTCATCTAATTCTCAGGGTACACTGACAGGGTAGGGACGGCTGCTATGATGATTACATGGAAACATGCAGAAAATCTGCTCACAGGTTATGGAAAACATATCAACACCAGATATTGTAGGTAACTGAAAGCTCATCTCTTCTACTCTTCACTAATTTCTAACCACAGGGGTTCCCAGATACCCAACAAGCCTCTGATGGTGGTAGAGTGGGGTCCTTGAACTGTTGTCAGTATTTCACATAATGAGTATTTAGTAAATGTTCCCTGTTATTGCGATCATTATTGAGGCAGTAGCAGTGTGTAACATCTTTTCATCAACTGGAGTTGGGGAAATAGGGTACATGTTGATTAAATACATTTGCTTGGCTTTGGGGGCTTGTCTCTGTCATGGATACTCTGAAATGTGTGTGGTAAGGATTTCTGAGACCATAGGGGAAGAGAACATGCTGGGGTGGCCCCTGCCTGGCCCAGAGCTGCTGCTCAGACCTCAACCATCTGTTCCCCCAAATTACTCTGGGTCTTCCCATTGCTGGGAACTGTATTTCCCATTGGTTTTCTCAGGAAGCTCCAAAAGAAGCTATCCAGGCCTCCCCTGGGGCTCAGTGGTGGGCACAGTCCGCGTGGAGCATGGCACTCACCTCTGGCCAGGTTGCGGTGGATGGTTTCCTGGGACATGCTGTGCAGGCGCTTCATGTAGTCCTCGCTGTACCAGACCCGCAGCCACTCCCCAGGCCGGATGTCCCTGCATGCCCGGAAGTAGATGCGCTCACTGTGCTGGAACGCCAGCAGGTTCTGCTCCCTCTCCTCCCGAGAGATGACCACGTACCTAGCAGGGAGGGGAGAGAGATGAGAACGCATGGGCCACCCTTTGTTGAGTGCCCGCTGGTGCCGGCCCAGTGCTGGGCAAGTGTGGTTGGTTAAAAGTCCACAGGCATGTGGTCCCGTGTGAACATCGGCAGAGCAGCTGCCCTGTCCGGAGAAGTAGCACTGGCCAGAACCCATCCCTGTCCCAATGTCACTGTGTTGTGGGACCTCAAGCAGATCTCCAAACCTCTAAGAATCTCTGTTTTCTGAGACTGGATATGACACTTGCCCTGCCTGCCTCACAGTATATGGAAAATATATCAACTAGATATTATAGGTGATTGAAAAACTGAAAGGTCATCTCTTCTACTCTTCACTAACTTTTAACCACAGGGGTTCCCAGATACCCACAGGCCTCTGATGGTGGTAAGGCTGGGGTCTTTCAACTGTTTCCAGTATTTCACAAAGCCTAGCTCAAATAGCCCATGTGACAAGGTGTCCAACAGATCAATTAATAAATGCTAAAGATCAAAATCTTTAAAAAATGGGGGCTCCAGTGGGGACAGGGGAGGAAGGTAAATAAGAGACTACAGAAGGTTGACAACCACTGGTTAATCTTACTACATGATTTTAAGATAAGGAGACTGAGGCTCAGAGAGGCCAAGCGACTTGCCCAAAGTCACACAGCTAATAAATGGGAGATGAAGCTTTGAGTCCTATGCACGTTTCCCACTGTAACTCATGGCTCCTATGTGGGCATGTAAAGCACCAACTTGGCAACGACCAGAAAACCTTTAAAGTTCTGTCAAACCCTCAGATTCTATGGCCCTCGCCCATTCTCACTGAAACAACACTTGCAACATCCAGCCCACCACCCTACCCACCTCCAAAAGGTGAGATGAGGGAACACCTGCTGAGGAGAGAAGGTCTACAGATCAGAACACAAGAGGAAATTAGTTGGCGTTTTAGGGTTCTGAGATACACAAGCATCTAGGAAATTTGTAGTAAAAAATAAACTTAGTTCTTTATGTGATGGTTTATCTCATAAACCAGGGACAATAATCAAAGTCCATCTGACTGGTGTAGCCCAATGAATTATATCTGGAAAAGTCCAGGGGAAACAAAAATTCACAGAATAATTCAAGTGGATAATAAACAAATGAAAAGTATTCAGCATCACTAATAAAAGAAACACAGCATAGCACATTGTCTCATTGGCACAGATTTATAAAAGATGATAATATCTCTATTGGTAAAGGTGGTACGAAAGGTGTCTCCTGTACTGATGATGTAGAATTAACAGGTGTAACCCTTTAGGAAACAATGTGGCAACATGGCTCAAGAAACATTTACAGATGAAGCATGCAAACCTGGCATACCACTATGGTGACTTGTATCATTGTGTATAGTAGTACAAAGGCAAAACATTTAAATGTCTAATACTAGAGAAATGATTTCATAAATGATGCTACATTTATACAATGGAATGCTACTCATCTATAGAAAAATGTTTTCAAAAAATCTTTTATGACATGGAAAGATGGTGTTGAAATAAGATAGTGTGAGAACAATAGGACTGGAAGTATTTAGACTATGGTTCCAATAATGCTTTAAAAACAAGCCCCAGTAAACAACTTGAAGGAAATATACCAATATTTTAACAGTGACAACCCCTTATAGGTGGATCATCTTTGTAATTTTGCATACTTTCAAAGTTTCCCTCAATAAACAAATATTACTGTCACCCACCTCACCTCTGACACACACACAAAGAAAAGAAATACATGAATGCCAGTTCCAGTATGAGGTGACAGTGGTGGCGGCTAGCAGCATGGAGAATCTACATTCTAGAGGTCCCAGGGATGGCACCAGCTGCCCCTCATCTATATCCTGCCTTTCTCATCTGGAGAGCCTGGGAGGAGGCTGTTGCCTTCCAAGGAGGATCACTGGAGTCCAGGGAACAATCCATTCTGGCAACAGGATGCTGCAAGACCTCAGAAGGGGTAAGACCAAGGCGGACGGGACAGCAAATGGTGGCTTTGGCTGCTTCAACCTTTTGAGAGAAGTAAGCCACAGGCTCCACCATGGAGGTGTAGAACTTGCAGGATTTACAGTGCTTAGATCCCCCAGAATTTGCATCTTGTCCTAGGTCTGTGTTCTCTGTTAGCCCCAACACATCGGTGTTCTTATCAGCATCAGATATAAGCATCGCTATCTCTGAGTAGTGAAGACCACACGGTGATTTCCACGCATCCAGCCGTGATGTTATTAACAAAGGACATAAGAGAAAGGAAAAGAGACCCTCCTGGCTGACAGAAGTTGCTCCAAATAAATAATTCCCGATCTCAATTCTACAACTGTGAGTCAGACTTTTCTCCATAGCTGAGATTTCTTCTGAATATGTAAAATATTTCCAGTCCCCAATTTAGTGAGAGTCTAGGATTTGACATCCAAAAATAATCAACCTTGCAGTTAGCACAGAATAGAAGTCGTTCCAAACTTTCCTGCTCCCAGATACGAAAGGAAAACCATTCATTCATCTTTTTCTCACAAGACTCACTTGAATCACAGAGCACCAGGATTGGAGAATATTGTCTTCTCCTTTTTTTTCTTCCAGTTTCTAAACAACCACCAAGCTCTAAAAGCTAGAATTATTTCTCTGACAGTCAACATCAAGAGAAAAAGCTAGATGAGAAATACATTCCTATCATGGATTTATTTATTCAAAAGAGCAACTTCTAGGGTGTGTCAAAAGGTTTAGAAAGACTCAAGTCAATTTCTCTTTCCATCTTCTGGTCTTTTTCTATCCATCAAGAATCAATATTTGGAAAGCTAACCTCAAGGCATTATATAAATCACAAAGTATTTTCAAAGGCAGATCAACACTTATTCAGATTTTGTTGTATTTGGTTGTTCCGAAACTTAGCATTTGAACTATGATATATATGACAACTCTTGGTGAATCACAACCCATTCCCCTGACAAGATGTTTATGTTATATCATTTAAGAGGTAAAGCTAAATGGAGCCAGCTAGGTCCCCAAACTTGTTACCTCTAATTAGATCTCCTGCTTTTAAGTATTTTGCCTTAACACATGCTGGCTTGAGCCACTCCCCAGAACCCTTCTGTTCCCATTCACAACAGCCCCTTTATGAAGAACTGTGCCTGTTCCATTCATTACATGGCTGCGGAAAGCAGAAGCCCTCCCCAAGGAGTGGAAGGCTACCAGGAGGTGCAAAATCTATCCATTGTGGCTGAGCAGCTCTTTGCAAGGAGGTTTGAGGAGTTACCAGGTCACTACCTCTTGAGAGAAGGCACAGAGAATGCCTGGCTGAGGCTGTTCTGCAAATGCTAGCGCTTATTGAGGCATTTCAACTCCAACCCACAGAATTTGGGACCTTTGGAGCAATCAAGGGGAAGGTGGCGGTGCTGCTGATGGCGGTGGAGAGCTCTGGACTAAACCTGTCATGATGATCCTGGATTGTTTTTATTCCAACCTCCCCGCTGACCTTGGGGACTAGATAGGTAAGTACTAAGACAACAGTTCTCAGACCTCACCCACTGTGTCTTATCAAGTGCATCATATTTTCTAGCTGGGTCAGGACATGACTATTGGTTCCAACACAAAAGAGAACATAACACAGGGCATCCATTTTGCTAGAGGGAATCGACTAGGCTAGGCTCAGACACTACTGCTTAATGGGTATCTTCAATAGAAAGGAAGCTGCCCCAATTAGGGAGGCAGAACTAGGAAAAGACTGACCGAGAAGAGGCTGGGCTCAGTGTTCTCACATGCATAGGTCTCCGGGCTAGCAGGGGCTTTGGGTCACACATCCACCTGGTCATGGCTACAGGCCTCCCTCTTCCAATTCATTTCTGCCTCTCATCCAAGTTTCCTCTCCCTGTTTTAATGTGCTAGCCCCACAATCCCCACTGAAGCCAAGAAACAGAAACTGAAAATCTTTTCCATCCCAATTTGACAAGTCCTCGCTGTCCCTTTTGCTCTGACTTCCATTTCAGTTTTACAGCTTCCGATTCGGCCCCTTCCCTCCCCAGGAACAGAGAGAGCAGCCAGCCAGTCACTGCTTCATACATTGACCTTGGGAGAGAAGGCCCTGGGAATGGTTTCATGGCATCTTTGCATCTCTCGAAAATTGGGTAGTCCTTCATTTCTATGGTCATGCTTTTTGACCAAGAACTGCGGAGGATGGCCTGCATTTCAAGAGGCTAAAGGTAGGTTAGAACCTTCTAGAAAGGGGATCTGTGGGCAAGACTTGGGGATTTCCTGCCTTAGAGAAGCTCTCTGGGACTGGCATTAAGCCAGAGCAATGCACAGGTGAGGAGGCTGCTTCTTGGCAGAGGAGGCAGCTTTGGTTACTTTGAGAAGCCTCAGATCTAGGTGGGCAGAGCCTTGCCAGTGCCAGACACAGACACCTGGATTGGTTGGGAGGGTCACGCCTTAGGGGGCCCCTAAAGTGCGCACTGGCACATGGACAGCCCCTGACCCCTCTAGAGCCTCCTGTCCGAAATGGTAATTGTTTTACCAGAACGTCTCACTTACTTTTAGGGAACAAAAGGTAAAATTGACTTAGCAACACCTCACTTTTGAAGAGCAGAGAAATGAAATATAACTGAGTGGTTTCGTGCATGGATGCTCCATCCCTTAAGCCTATGCAAGCCCGTCCTTTCCTCCGAGGGCCTGGCATGGTGCTGGATACAGGGAATCTGGCAGTTTATAGAATCAGGGAAATCAAGGGGCACTCAAGCCCTTCTCACCAACATGCTTTTCCTTAATCATCTAACCCCTGCTTTGGGGACCTTGAGGTTTTCACAGGAAACGAAGAAAGAGAATACACACCAAAGAAAGATCCTGGACACTGGGTGTGTTCAAAGAGTGAGATCGATTTCTTTTTATTGCCATCTTAACAAAAATACTTCGGAAGGCAATCTTTGATTCCAGCATAGGAGGCCGGGCAATTCCAGGCAATAATTAAGCCATCGGGCTGTTGGACAGGACAGTGTTCAGTTTGAGGGAAGTAGGAACCCCCAAAAAACCACAGAATGGGGAGATGGAGCCAAAGGCACAGGGACATTGCAGTCACCTTCCATTCTCCCTACGTGGGACAAAGCTTGGCTTGGGTTTACAAGCAGCACTCCAGGAATGGCCTTGGAAGGCACTGGGTGCTGCAATCCTCCCAGCTCCTACTACGGCTGGGGGCAGGATAGGAGGGTGGGGGGTTGTTGGGTGGAGGGGTTGACTGGGGGACTTCTGCTGGGGTCAGCTTCAGGTCAGGGGAAAAAAAGGACACACAGCTGAGCCGCACCCAGGTCAGAGCTAAGCTTGTATCTGCCACCTGCCACTTCCCTCTCTAATGCTAAGAACCCAGTTTTCTCCCCACACTCCAGTATGAAACATGAAGCTAGAGGTGTGTGTAGCTAGTGCGTAGGCAGCCCGAGCAAGCAGAGGCAAGGCATGCTGGAACCTGGAATGGGACATGAGCCCTACTGGGCTCTGGATTCTTTCAGAAGCCAGGAAAGAGGTTGCCCTCCGCTCCTGAGATCTGGCCCTGCCTCTCCCAGCCACTGGCTATGAGCCATAGGGCCAGGGCAGGGTGGGAGAATCACCTGCTAAATGCTAGGTGCCTCCCACCTCCACCCAGGACAGCTGAGGCAGGAGCAGAGATACAGGAGGCAGAGGCCTGGCAAGGGGCAAGGCCCGCCCCCCGCCCCCTTCCCACTACTCCAGATCTGGCCTCTGACAGAGGAGCTGGGAAAACTGACACCCTGGCTTCCAGTCCTGGCCCTCTCACTAACTGGCTGTGTCATTTGTCTTACACAGATGATGATGATAAAAATGATCATAATAATACCTGACTTGGCTGCCTCGAGCTGACTGTCCTGAGCCCCCACTGAGACCACCCCTCTGCAAGGGCGAGGAAAAGCATAAAGTGCTCTCTATGAATGCAAGACAGTCTTTTCCTTCCTCCGACGTCATCCCATTCTTCTCCCCACTCCAAAAAAGGCAAGCACAGCAGCTGAGCACGCGCACAAGGGCAAGCGGAGGGCCAAGGCGGGCACCACCCCAGGGCAAGGGAGGGCAGACCCCTCCCTGAAGGACTGACTCAATCTGTCCATCAGGCCTCAACCCCTTCAAAAGCAGCAGCATCAGGGCCTGGGAGGTCACGTGTGGGAGGCCGATACAGCAGCCCCAAGGTTGGAAAGCGGGGTTTCATTCAGATGCTCCCCACTGTTGCACCCCCCTTCCCTGCAAGGCCTGCCGCCACAGGACACAGACCAAGAGGAGAACGATCTCCAGGCCAAGCAAGCATCAAGCAGGTGGCTTTTCTTGCATCTTCAGCATCCGCCAAAGATGAGGGTGCGGGGCTGAATACATGCTCTGTTAGAGCACAGGCAGCAACCTGCGCTCGGTGAGGAGGTGACAGCGCCCCCAATGTCCTACAAGGGTCATCGATCCTGTTCCTGGACACGACAGACTGGCCCCTGTTGTGAGGCCAGACATCCCTCCTCCATGGCTCTTCCTCCTAGTGCAGACTAGCTGGGTTAGAAATTGTGCTTTCTCTTCCGAGACCTGGTAGTCCGTGTAGGGGCTGATGCTGGGGAAGCTGCCGGGGGCTCTGGCAGGGGGGCTTGGGCCTGGGTGGCCTGGGGAGTGCAGCCCATAGGAGCTGCCCCTTCTGGCCCCCGCTGAGATGCCTGAACCCCATCCCGGATCTCTGTCAGCGTCTGGCACATCTGACCAACGCGGCTGGTCAGCTCGGCCATGGCCTGGCCGATGACGTGCATGCTGTTGGCCATGTCCTGGTGCACGGTCACCAGCTCCTGGCAGAACTGCCGGAACACCTCGGTCTGCTGGGCATGGACGTGGAGGAGCTGCCAGTCAAGGCCCGTGGTGGGTGGGCTGGGGTGCGGCCGAGGGGTCCTGCAGGCAGCCTGGGCCTGGGGTGAGGGATGGGGCAGGGCCTCTGGCTTGGGGCCCACCGTCTCAGACTGGTCTGAGGAGGAGGATGAACGGAGCAGGGCGGGCCTGGCCAGGTGGGCCTCTTCCTCCGGAGACTGCTGCAGAGGCACCCGAAGAGGCTGCCTTGAGGGCCCAGGCGCCTCCTCATCTTCATCATCTTAGGGGACAGAAACAAAGATGGAAAAATGGTTACAAAAGGCAGAAGGAAGGAGGCCCAGGGGTTGGCCCTGCCCCTGAAAAACACCTGAGTAATCCCCTGCCCTGCCACCCTACAGTCTAGTTTGGCCCCCACTCACAGAGAAATCACTGTTCCCCAAATCCCTGAGGTGCGTGGGCCCAGCACCCCTGGGGGGAAGTTCCTCTTCCTCTCACAGAACAGCTCCATTCTAGTGGGAAAGAGCCCAGGCCAGGGGACTTGGAGACCACAGCCCAGCGGCTGTGTGCCGACCCAGCAGCTCCTGACCTCAGCAGTCACTTCATCTCTCTGCAACTCACTTTCTGCAACGATAACAACTGCCCTGTTTACATGTCCAACGGCTTGGCTACCTAATTGGGTTGTTAAGAAGAGTCATAAACAAGATGACAAACATGAAGGCGCTCTGCAACACTGAAGGAGCGGCACCTGCCCAAAGGTACTATGACGCTCTTGGCCCTCTGAGCGCCGGCCTCTCTGAGGCCACGTCTGCATTGCTTGGGGCCATCTTGTGGCCTTGCTGGAACCTGCACCCTTTTTTTCCATAAGTTATTGGGGTACAGGTGATACTTTGTTACATGAGGAAGTTCTTTAGTGGTGACTTGTGAGATTTTGGTGTACCCATCACCCAAGCAGTATATGCTGCACCATATGACGCAAAGGCATAAGAATGATACAAAGGACTTTGGGGACTTGGGGGGAAGAGTGGGAGGGAGGCGAGGGATAAAAGACTACTAATATGGAATCTGCACCTTTGAATCACCACAGCGGATGCTGACAGGCTGAAGAAACCGGCAGGACAGTGCAGAGCAGGAAAGCTACCTCTGCAACCAGCCCTGCTGTCCCCCTGTCCCCCAAGGCAGGCTTCCAGTTCAGTCACATCGTGCTCCCACCCAGGAGCATCTGACCACACAGGGGCCATTGGACAGACTGCTCCTTGCAGCTGGACACAGGGAGGGGGGCCCAGCCTCTGCACATGTGGGTCCTGCTTTCTAGTGACCAAGGGTATGGGCTAATCCCTGTGGCAGGAATAAATTATGTATGGACTGACTCTACTGACAGGCAAGCCCTCCCTGCCTGGATCTGACGGCTCAGCTCAGAACCACCCCCCAGGAAGGTGACGGGGAGGACAGACAGGTTCAACCTATAGTTACCTCATACCTCCCAGGGGTCTTGGGGGCTCACTTGGGCCACCTTGGTAGGAGCCCTGTGTCCCTTGGCAGTGCTTGGTGGGACAGCAGCCATCCCGAGATCCCAGAGACCTGTCTAACATGGCCAGTGTTGGAAGGAGTGAGGCCTGGCGAGGTGATGCTGCTCCCTCCCTCCCAGGTCCCCGTTCTGCAAAGCCCCTGGCCGAGTGCTGCCGCAGCTGGCCGCTGCAGGGAAAGGGAGGGCTGTGAGCCTGCCATGGGGTCAAGCAGGCTCTGCCCGATGGCACACTCGGGCTCCCTGTCAGCCCAGGTAACCTTTGGTGGCCTCACTACATTCAGTTTCAGGGAGATGGAGAGGTGAGCGGAGCAGGATGCAGGGAACAGGCTTTACTGGATGCTGACCCCCCATTTATTCTTATCACGGGGTAGAATCCTCTTAAGACTTAGGAAAACGCTGATTCACAGGAAGCCAGCACACCCGGGTTCAAGTCCTGCTTCTGAATCGAGCTTGGGGCCACCTTGGTTTTCAGAGCTTGCTTTCTGCATTGCGAGGAAGTTGAACTAAATGGTCTCCATGTTCTTTTCCAGTCCTAAACATCTGACTCTGTGAACCACCACCTGTCAGGAGCCCCAGCCAAACAGGAAGCGAGCGGATCCTGATGGCAGGGGGCCCGGGAAGGGAAGGCCAAGGGAGTCTTTGCGAAGCACCTTCCCACAGGCTGAGCCACGGCCCCTTCCCTGGGGCCTCTGCTGCCTGGCTCCCACCACTCACGAGCCAGTCAGGCAAACGGCCTCTAGTGGGGACTGCAGCTGGTGGGGGGCGGGGGAGATGTGCAGAAGTGGAAAGAAAGGGGTGCAGCCCCTGCAGAGGCCTCGAGTACTCCCCCTTCTGCTGAGCCCCAACTACAACTCCAGCCCCAAGGGACACCCGCCCTGGCCGCTGGGGCCCTGGCTTCAAAGTGCATGTGAGACACAGGAAGTAGAGAGGAAAGGCAGGGACAAGTACAGAGGGAGAAGAGGGGTGGGGAGCCGGTAGGGGAGCAGCCAGGAGGATGGAGAGGGAGCTGAGAGGCAGCCGTAGGGTAGGCAGAGAGAGGCAGCACACAGAGAAGAGGGGGCAGGCAGCGTGGCTCAGGCAGGGGAGTAAGGAGAATAATAGAGGAACAAAGCAGTCAGGACCAGACACAGAAAGGAACTGATCTTTCCACGGCCCAGGCCTTCACAGCTTGGCCGCCTCGTCTCCAGCCCCCTCCCCCGCGCTGCTACACTTGGGCTTTCCTGGCTTCTCACTGTTCATGGAACGTGCCAAGCGCCTTCCTGATGCGGGGCCTCGTACATGCTGTTCTCTGCCTGTGCGCCTCCCCTCCCCTTCTCCGCGCCCCACGCTGCTGCCTGGCCTGGTTAACTCTTACCCTTCACATCCCAGTCCACTGGACTTCTTCAGGGAGCCTTCCCCAGCCCCCAGTGGCGACAGTTTTCCCCACTCCTTAACTCTCAGACAGAGCTGCTACGTTACCCACTGAGTCAAATGCAAAATGAAAACGTGGGGCCCCTGGCTCAAAAACTATGAAGAATGTCCAGATGGTGACAGCAGAGCCTGAAACCCCGTGGCCCCTGAGACTGTTCAGGTTGCATGCTCATGAAGTCAGCCCTGCTCTCAGGACCTCCTGGACTCCTGTGTCCTTCATCCCTTTGTTACCAGTTTACTTGTGCAATTATTTAAGGTTGGTTTATTCCTAGGAGTCCAGGGTCTCCCCAAGGGCAGGGCCTGTGTGGGGTTTACACACAGCTGTCTTCCCAGCTCCTAGCATGGCTCTGGCACAGAGATGCTCAGTAAATATTCTAGAATGAATGCACAAAAAGAGATGGAGAGGAGATGAGTGGGAGAAGGAGGGGAGGATGGAAAGAGTGGGCTGGACAGAGAGGGACATGAGAGAACCAGAAGGAAAGTTGGTGGGAGACTGTGGAGTGTAGGCTGGGGGGCAGGCGGCCGGCTGGGCGGCGGGGGACTGATGATACTCACAGCTGGTCGAAGGGCTGTCGGTGCCATCCAATTCCGCCCTAGGGAAGCCGCGCCCTGCATGGGCTGTGAGCAGCGCCGACTCGATGGCCCTCTCGTGGGCCGTGAGCACGATGGTGGGGGCGCGGCCCCCAGCCCCAGGGCCTGACAGGGACTGCTGCATGAAGGCCAGCTTGTCCTTGGTCCTCCGTTTCATGTCATCCCATCTGTGCTTAATGTCCTTCACGGAGCGGGGCACCTGGCTGACGGAGGTGATTTTCCGGGCTATGCCTTCCCAAATCTTGTCCCTGTCAGCATGGGACAGCCGCATGGTCTCCCTCCCAAAGAGCACTGCTTCGTGATGAGTCACCTCTGTGACAAGAATGTCCAGCTCCTCCTTGGAGAACTTGGGCTTCCTCTTACGCTCGGCCAGGTGTGCCACATTCCTTGGGTTGAATATCCCACAAAGCACAATTGGGTAAATGACCGTCAACGCAGGTGGTCCTCCTCCTTCCTAATTGCTGGCCCCCAGCTGGGGAGCCAGGAGGCATCTGGGGCAACCTGGCCCCCACCACACCCTCCTCCTACTGAGAGGTCCCTTCCACTACTCCTCGGAGGGGAGGGTGGAAAGAAGAGACGCGTTACATGGGAGGGAGCACTGAACTCAGAGTCGAAGGCCTTGGTTTCAGGGCCTGCGTTAGCTCTTACTAGCTGTGAGAGCTAGGGCAGTTCAAGTTCAACCTTTCACACTATACTCTCCCTGTCCAGAATAATAACCACAACCCTTCAGGGTTATTACTAAGGAGGGAAAAACATGATGTAAGGGGCTTAAAATCTCTTAAAGGTAGCAATAAAGGATCTTATTGAAACTAGGATTAGACCATTGTCTCTGTAAAGCGGTATTACCTACAGCCCTACAGCTGAATGAATGGCTCAGAAGAATACATAACCAGGGATACTATTTACACTGGGCTGCTATGGGATGTAGCAGTGACAATGCCATGATTAAGGTGTGGCCACAGAAAGCTGATTCTGCCCAGTGGCTCTCTTCCCCTACCCCTTCCCTATCCCAGTGAGTTCTCCAAGCCCCCACCTTTGCATATGTGCAGGAAAACAGGTTTCCTTCCCATGGGAGTGCTTTCTTCTGCTGTGGCTTTTTGGTAGAATTTGAGAAGCCCACGACTGTCCTGAGGGAGACAAGTTCCACTCTGGTGGACACCAGGGGGACCTGGGATTCCCTCTCAACTGAGCAGCCAGAGGCCCTGAGCAAGGGGCATAGCATGGCCCTTCCATTTCACTTGGCTCCTGCTCTGGCTTTGGAACTCGATTTCTCCACATCGTGGCTCTGTCACCCTTTAACCAGTGATAAAAGGTTAAAAAATCCACCCAAGAGAGGACACGAGGGTATGGAGGAAAGCTCAGAGCGCATTCACTCCTTGGTTTCCTTCTGAAACCAAGAGGGGAAGGCCGGCGGCACCAACATCCTTTAGCCCTCACCTTCCTACTCATGCACCCAAAACACCAGGGCCCAGAAGATGGGAAGGAGGCTGGGGGCCTCATTACCCGGTCCAAGATGGTAGCAGGAACATGGGACTAGACCTGGGACTAGAGACTGAGTCTCCTTGGGCCAAACCATGGGACTCATGTGAACCCAGCCTCCTTCTCCATAAAACTAGGGTGATAATTCTAGTGTCACTGCCCAGGGCTATCAGGAGGACTTAATGTGGGTTTCTCAATCTTGCCACTATTGGCAGTTGAGGCTAGATAATTTTTTGTTGGGGGGAAGGGGTGTCCTGTGTAATACAGGATTTTTTCAACATCTTTGGCTTCTACCTGATAGCATCCAATGACCAAACATGTCTCTGGGCCTTGCCAAATGCCCCTGGGGCACAAAATAGTACCCAGTTGAGAATCACCACAGACAGATCACCTAGCATAGGGCTTCATAAAGATAAGCTCAATACAACAGTACCCGTTCCCCTCCTCGCCCACCATTAATTTTGTTAAGAAACTAACTGATTCCATTCAATCATCCCCAAGTAGTGCCATGACAGTGCAAGGAAGAGCATCTGCAAATCAGAAAGAGCTACACCATGGAAGCTGGACATGAAGGGGAAGGAGGATTCCCAGGATTAACAGCTTTCCCTCCAACACCAATAGGAGGGGTGTCTCCATGGCAATGAACTGCATCCCCAATCCCAACCTGCTCTTTGAGCCGTCATAAGATGAGAGCCCACCAGCTGTGACTACCCAGATGCCATCTTGAATCAGGACAGGCTGGGAGCAGAACAGGACAGATACCATGCTAGCAAGTGGCAGTAGCAGAAGCCCCCAAACCCCTGCTCACCAGTGCCCATCCAGGCCCAGGAAGCCACGCTTCACCTGGTCCCTTGTGCACAAGCAGGAAGAACACTGACCTAGGATTACAGAGCAAGAAGTTCAAATCCTGATTCTGCTACCCTGACTGTATGCTCTTGAGCAAGACCTTGCCCTACCCTCAGTTTGACCACTGTGGCACGAAGATCTGAACAGAGCAGTGGTTCTCAATGCTAGCAGCACATCAGAATCACTAGCTTTAAAAATACCAAGGCCCAGGGCCCATCTCCAGCCCAATTAAGTCACAATCTGTGGGGTGCCAGAGGACAGCTAAATTAGTTCAGATGATAACTCCCCTTCTTTGGGGTTTTGGGAAGGCCTTGTCCCCAAGGGGAAGGATCAGAGATGGGTGAAAGAGTGGAACAGATTCAGTTCTATGGGCAAATCTCCTGGCGCCTTAAGAGTAACAGCACAGAAAGCCTGATTCCCAAGTGGACACACGCATGCTATCCCCTACTTGCCTGGAGCCAGGCTGCAGCCACAGGGAAGGCAGCACAGCGGCACAGGCCGGGGTTCCAAACTGTGCAGCTGCCCGACAGCCTGACTTGACACCACACCCCAGTGTCCCCAGACACAATCCTGGCTCCTTTGAAGGCCCATGTCAACGAACCCCTCCTCTTTCACCCGGGCCCCTGCAGCACATTTGTGCCTCGGTGCAACAACTCCACTGGAAAGTCATCTCTGTGGTGGGAGGTGTGAGCCTGGGAAGGGCCAGCGGGGGTGGGGCATGGGGTGTGGTGGGGCAGGACTGGGTGATCCACTCCAGTTCACAGTCTGACTCAACCTAGGTGCTCAGTACACAGGTGATGAACTGTAAGTGCTCAGCTGACCTGGACCCCGTGGCAGTGAGAAGAGAAGGCAGTCGCAGGTGTCAAGCCACCTCCCTGGGGCCACTTTCAGGGCAGTGTCTGATCAGCTGTGTGCAAGGAAGTTGGGGGCAGTGGGTGCTATTCTCCACACTGCAAGGCAGGGGGCCCGCTCATCTCTGGAGCCTCTGTTCTGTACCCATCAAACGGCAATGAGAACACCTGCCCCAACCCATAAGAGGGCAAACGCTAAAGTACTCTGGGAGGTGTGAACTGCTGCTCAGCCGCTCAGGGCGCTCTGATAGGAGTACAGGTGGGCAGTGGAGCCACCAGGAAGGGCACAGGAGCCCTCATCACACATTCCTCGCCTCAAACCTGTTTCTCCTCATTTGCTCAGAAAGTCTCCGAGTTTAAGACAGCACACTCCTTCTTAGGAAGTTGTCCTCTCTCCAAGCACAATCCCACCACCAGCCTCAAGGCCCCATGGGTCACAGAACTGTGCACATGCCAGCAGAGGGCCCCAGGTCCATGGTGTGGCTGTGCTCCTGACTCCAGACATCTGAGGCTTCCTTCCCCTCCCACCCAGATCCAAATCCCCAGTCAGTGCTCCTAGGTCCCAGAGAGAAGCCACCAAGCAGGCGACAAGGCAGGTCAGATCTCCCACCCCTGTCCACAAACCCCACCAGGCAAAGCCCCTCGCACACGACACAGACCATCAGCATCACACTGGGCCCATGGTTCCAGGCTCAGTTCAGTCATCCCTGGGTGACCCTGGGCCAGTCTCCTGTCTCCTCTGGCTGGCATTTAAGGAATCTTCTGGTGCAAACTTCTGCCACAAACACGGGAACAGCGTAAAGCTGACGCTTCAAAGTACTCAAACTTAGGCAGCAACACTGCCAAAAACTGAGCTGAAGACTTTGTCAGAGCCCTTTCTTCCATGGAGGCTGTTTAAACAACTGCTGGGACTGCATTGGGACAATTCTCACACCACCACTACAGGAGCCTGCTCTGAGAAGGTGTCACAGTCCTAGGTGGGGGACATTCTCCTCCTCCTCCCTAGGAATGCTGCCAGAAGCCTGGGGCCCAGGTCCTCCAGATACACTGGCAAGTGATCACCCCAAGGGGTCCCTGCATCCCAACAGCCTGGCCACACACCATCCTCTAGAGCCCCCTGATGGAGGCCTAGGGCAAAAGGTGGGTCCTTCAGAGCTAGATGCATCCCAAACCCTGCAAACAGCAGCCTCCAGAAGTCTCCACCACTGGAGCTCCCATAGGCCCAACACACTCCCTTGTCTCCTTTCCAGAGGCCAGGCAAGACCCCCGGGACATCAGCAGAGCAGGGCTCACCTCATCCAGTTGGCTTTGGTCTCGTCTGAGCCATCTATGGACTTATAGCGGTTGTTCTTGTCCACAATCTGGAAGAAAGAGAAAGAGTCTAGGATGGGCCATTCTAGAGGGGTTCTCATGTCCCTGGGCTCCTTCCCAACCAGGGCCCAGGGCCTGGCCCCACCTGCTCCCTCCCCCTCCCCCTGAAATGTCACCACTGCTACATAACTGAAATGCAGGCTGGGTTCAGAATCCCTGCTACCTTCTCTCCACCCATTCCCATTCTTCTAGGGACACTGGGGATCCTATTCTCCTAGACCCACAAAGCCCTTCATAGGTGTTTTGAATTCCTGGGAGATGGGAAGCAGCTGGAACCATCTCTCTCCTCTGTCTTGATGGAATACACAGCAACATAGCTGACAAGGGGCCTTTCCACTGGCGTTGCTTTGCAACCACAAAGGCTAAAACAATCCTTCTCTCTTTACAGTTTCTGTGGGAGACAGAGGCCACTGCTGGATGACTGAACATATGTGATTTGAGAGGGTTCCTCCTCTCCCCAATCTCTAAATGTTCAAGAGCCTCAGGATTTGAAGCTGGGCTGGTTTCTCTTTTATTTCATCATCACTCTTTAATCAGAGTTCAGCTGGGTATGAAATTCTAGGCTAAGTTTTATTTTCTTTCAGCACTCTGAAGATTGCTAAAAAGACTGCCATTGGCACAAAAGCAACAGCTGTCAGTCTAATGTTGTTCTTTTGTGGATAATCTGTCTGTGGTAAATTTTAAGACTTTCCTTTTACTCTTGACTTTCTGTAGTTTTGCTACACGGTTTTGAAGTGAAGATTTACTTTCCTGAAATTCTCCTTATTACTTGATGAACACCTTCCAACTCCAAGACTCATATCTTTTTCAATTCTGGAAAATTCTCAGTCATTAGGCTTTTGAGTACAGCTTCTCAGTCATTTTCTCCATTCTCTTTCAGTAAAATTTCTGTTAAACATGTATGGCAAAAAAAATTAGCCAGGTGTGGTGGCTGGTGCCTGTAGTCCCAGCTACTCAGGAGGCTGAGGCAGGAGAATGACGTGAACCCAGAAGGCGGAGCTTGCAGTGAGCCGAGATCATGCCACTGCACTCCAGCCTGGGCGACAGAGCAAGACTCCGTCTCAAAACAAAACAAAACAAAAACAAAAACAAACAAACAAAAAACATGTATGGGAGTAACTCAATATATCCTCCATGTCTTTTAACTACTCTTCCATATTTTTCTCTTTATTATTCTGGGCACTCTCTGGAAAAATTTCTCAGAACTCTCTTCCAGTCCACTAATTATCTCTTTGGCTATGTCTAATCTAGGGTTTCTCTCATCTACTGAGGATTTTCCAGCTTTCTTTGTTTTCTTTTTTAATGAGTACCTTTATTTTGATGAATATTTTTCATTCCCATAATTTTTAATTAGTTTTTTTCAGGTCCACACTTTTATACATCCTGCCTCTTTCTCTTTCATAATGACATGTTCCTTCTTTTTCCTTTCTAACAGCTTTATTGCGGCATCATTGACATATAATGTACAACTTGATAAGTTTTGACACATGAGCTAGATCAGGGTTGGTTCCCTGAAGACTTGGTGAAGCAGAGCCTGGGAGAACTCCTGGGAGATGGGAAACAAATGGATGGTCACCATGCCTAGACTCCTACCTAACCTGGTGCCATCCATAAGCCTCCATTGTTCTCTTCAAAGCAGCAGAGAAGCCCTTTATCAATGTGAATCAGATCATGTCCCACACCAGCTCAAAATAGCATCCACTGCACTTACAATAAAACTCATATTTATGGCCACAGCCTTCATACCCTACAGGCCTGCCCCCCAACTTACCCTGGGCCTCTCACTCCCTTTTCACTTTTCTGCAGCCTTAATGCCCTGAGGGTGAGCCTTAACATTGGTTGGTTCCACCGCCTAGAGCCTCTTTTGTCTACCCTTAAAAATGACAATAATCATGAAATATTTCAAGCATTCAGAAATTATAAAGAATGCAGCTGACAACCCTGTGCCCATCAGCCAAAGCCAACAAAAATTAACACGAGTTATATTTGTCTCAGGCCTCTCTCTCCTTTTGCTTCAAGAAAATGTTGAGATGCAGTGGAAGACCCTCTCTGCCTCCAACTTCTTCTCTTTCCCTTCCTCCCTCCAAGAGTAACCACAATCCTGGAGATGGTGGGAAGCCTTCTCATTTTTATGACACAAGGACTTTTCAAAGAGCAACACACAGGACTGTTTGCATGTGTGTAAAGTTTACGGAAATGACACCCAAGTGAACATATCCTTTTTCAATTTTTTCCCACTAAGCTTTGAATATGTGGTCCCTTCTTAGCTTTGGGGTCTCAGATTATGTGAGCTCCACAGAATAAGCCTTCCCTAGCCTTGACCCTAAAGGAAGTTCTTCCTGGCCTCACCTCAACCTCCATATCACTGGCCTATCATGGCATTATCTCTGTTACATCATCCTGTAACTTCCCTTAAGAGCCCTAATTGCAGTGAGCATTTTGTTGATATCTACTTGTCAATTTGGTAACTGACTGCCTCCCTGGCTAGACCGTAAACTAATGAGTGCAAAGCACATGGCTGCCCTGATCACAATGGTGGCCCTGGTTCCTAACATAGGGAGGGCATGGCACATGGTGGAATACTGATTGAATGAAAGAATGATTGGATGAAGAGCCTTTTAAGTAAAAGGCAAGTAAAGGGGAAAAAATTGGCTAAGTGTGATGCTCATACATGTATTCCGATCACTTTGGGAGGCTGAGGCCAGAGAACTGCTTGAGGCCAGGAGTTTGAGACCAGCCTGGGCAACATAGCAAGACCCTGTCTCTACAAAGAATTTTTACAAAAATTAGCCAAGTGTGGTAGTGCACGCCTGTGGTCTCAGATACTCAGGAGGCTGAGGCAGGAGGATTGCTTAAGCCCAAGAGTTTGAGGCTGCAGTAACCGATGATTGTGCCACTGTACACAAGCCTGGGTGACAAAGCAAGATCCTGTTTCTAAAAGAAAAGAAAAGGAGAAAGAAAGAAGGAAAGAAGGAAGGAAGGAAACAAGAAAGGAAGGAAGGCAGGAAGGAAGAAAGAAGAAAAAATTATAAAATGTTAAGATTTTAGTAAAAATGAAATGAGTGCTATGCCAGAGCCAGCTTATACTGACTGGGAGCCAACTGTTAAATTTTCAGGAATTTTGCGAACCAGTTGTTAAACACAGTCATTATTGAAAAACTAAATGATATAAACTTACAATTCAATAAATGATATATTTTTAAAAGGCAATAAATACTCAAAACGTAACCACTTCCCAATTATTTTACTACATTTGACTGACGATTTTCTATGCTCTTGAGGGTACTGGCCTCTACTGTAGCTGCAGAGTAGAAATACCATACAATAGTTGCAATTGCATATTTCTTCCCAATTGCACATTCACTGATTTCATGCTAGTAGTCTGAAATCAGCCATAGGAGGAGCATTTACACCATGGAAATTGGCACATAGCCTCACCGTCACCATCACCATCACCATCAGTTGTAAACACCTACCAGCACACCACTATGCATGTTTACATGAGCATAGAAAGTCTAGGAGATACATATCAAAATCTCAACTCTTGTTACTCTAGAGGGGAGGAAAGAGGGAAGCAGGGATGCTTCTGCTTAATTTGTCTATGAGACTACACTGCCTTTGTGTTTTAAAAATCTCAGAAAACTAAAAAGAGAAGACGTGCAACTCAGGCTTCCCATTCCATGGCAGTCTCCCCAAGTGATGCTCCAGTCTGCAGGGCCCTCCCCTGGAGTCTCAGAGAACCCTGGATTTTATCATAACACTACTCCCTCTACATTATCATTTCTGATTGCTCCCCTGTCTCCTGGGGGAAAACAGAAGCATCACTAGTTCCTACAGAGATGTAGTAGGAGCGCATGGAGGGTAGTAAGAGCCATGGAGCCAGAGGAATTGGCTAGAATTTCAGCTTCGCTGCACACAAGCTGAATGGCCTTGGACAGATATTTGCTGACCATGCCTCAGTTTCCTCATCTACAAAATTGGATAAAAACTAACCTTGTAGCACCGCTGTCATAATGGAAGTGTAAGACACTCAGTGAATGGTCACTGTTAGCATTGTGATCATAATTGGGATTATTAAGAGTTCAAATATTAGTTACTACTAATTTGGGGTGGTGGGAGGCCTGTAGGTCAACACTGAGTTGTAATCAGTCTTGGCAGTTTCATCTGGACACAGAGGCCTGGGCAAGAGTTGTGAAGGACATAGGAACTGCCTGAGACCTCTGTCTGCTGGATTCAGGTCTAGAGCTTTTCTGAGTTTTGGCTTATCTTTCCCACCAATCAGGATTTTCTCAAATCAAGCATTTATTCACTCATTCATTCATTCATTCATTCAACCAACAAACATCATGGAGGGAGTGGGCACAGTGACAGGCTCTGGGGATAAAATGTTGATCCAGGCAGAGAGTGTCTTTGCTCTTAGAAAGCTCACAGCCTAGCGGGACACAGAAGAGAGGTCACTGTGATATGGCATGGCCAGTACCATGGTGGGGAATTATGTGGGATTATGGGATCTCTGAGCTGGAGCCCTGGACCTGGGAAACTATTGAGGACCTTTTCTGGGGACATGGAATCTAAGCTGAGATCTTAGAGAAGAGAGAGATGGTGCCCTAGGCAGAGGGTGCAGGGCAGGCAGGATCTCGCACGGCCTGTGGACCATGTTATATGCCACTGATGAGCCCAGGCCACCCTGAGTAGAGAGCAGGCTGTGGGCTTCCAGTTCTGGGACTGACATGGGACCAGGAGTGACAGCAGGGCAGATGCTCAGGACCAGTCCCCAGAATGCTGGTCTCCCAGTGTCTTCCCTTGCCTTTTCCCTCAAGGTCAACTCCTTGGTCCCTCTGAACTCAGTACTTTGGACAGCCCAGAAGCTCTGAGCATTGTGATATAAGGCCTTTGATAACCTGGCACCAGGCTGATAACCTGGGGAACCTGCATGGTGAGAGGCTCCCTTAGCCTGGAGAAGAAGAGGCCTGAGAAAGCAGAGCCATCA